GACTTGTGCTTCCACCCTGCTCATTACAGGGAAATTTTCCCCCCTCATTTAATCTCCTCCTGGTCTCCTAATCCCAAGGTTGCTTACTTTAAAGGAGTCCTGAGAACTGTTCCTTTGAAGAGAGAAACTGGGAGAACCCTCTCAGTCAGCCATGGAACCTCGTTCATTCTGCATGTTGGTGTTACGGTTCCTACACAGGTCTTTTGTTGAAACATGGGCACACTGGGTCCAGGAAGATATTAAGTCTTAGTCATACATTGTATCCGCGGCTACTCCCCTTCTCATTCTGTAAGGCTTGCTCCATTTTTTTGTTTTGTTTTGTTTTATTGAGCATCGTGACATGGCACTTTACCCTTGAAAGCAGAGGCACATAGTACGATCCAAGAAAATAACCATTTAAATTCTTCACATTTTGAGCACAAAGGAGGGATAACATAGCTCAGTGACAGTAATCTCTGCCTCTCACTACAAGAAGACCTATGGTCATGACGTTGATAACTACTCTTAAGAAGGCAAGAGGCAACTTCATACAGAACCAGGAATTCTAAGCTGATTTTTAAAGAATGAGTAAAAGCTTGACAGGAGGAAAGAGCATTCTAGAAAGAATGAATCAAAGGAAGAAAGAAAGCCTGTGGACTTGAGCATGGCCTGGGTTCAGGAAGCATGTTGGGAAAGAGCTGAAGCTGGACAAATGCACTGAGGATAAATTGAGGGATGTACTTAAAACTTCAACTTGACCCTTTTTTATAAGCCCCCAGGAAGTTGCGCATGAGTCTAAGAAAGAAATTGACATGGTCCGATGACTTGATCTTAAAATAATCTTGGCAGTAAGAAGGCCACATTTTTTTCCTGGGAACTAGCTGTATAATAGCAAGTTTGTGTTTAATACTTTAAATGCTAACTTTTAAACTAATTACTGATATTTTAATATTTATTAAGTTTCTAATAATGCACCAGACTCTATGTGAAGTCCTTTTGAATGCAGTATCTCTTTTAATCCTCTTAAGGTTATTGAAAAGATTCTGTAATTATCCCTATTTGACAGGCAGAGAACCAAAGCATTAGAGAAAGGTTGGGTAACTGCCCAGGTTCATACAGTAAGTGCCTGAATTTAAACTCTGACAGTTTGGTTCTACACACTATAGCTGTAACCACCAGGGCAGTGGTCTTTAATCGTGGATGCACACAAGAATCACCAGGGGAACTTAGAACAAAAACAAAAACACACTAATGCCCAGGATTCTCAATTAAATCATAATTTAATTAATTCTCAATTAAATCAAGACCCCTGGGAGGAGGATCTTGGCATCCATTTACTTCAAAAGTGCCGGCAACTGATTGTAAAGGACAGACAGGATTGCACTGAGCTAGGCTAGACTGTCACCTTAACATACAGTGAATGGTCATAAACATCCATATTCCGCCACCGCACCAAATCACAAGAAAAACAAAACTACTAAATACTAAAATCACAGAATATGAAGACTTTCATGGCTTTTTTTTCCAGTTTTAACACTCAGGAAGAGAAACTATGGCCTTCATCTGTCTTAAGACTGACAGACAACACAGAAGAAAAAACAAAGAAGGTGGGGTGAAAAAGGAAAAGGTGACAAAGGGGTTTCAAGATGGAAAGGAAGAGAATGGCTGAAATTGGGGCTGTTGAAGTATTAAGACACTATCTACTGATAAGCGGTCGGTAATATCAAAGGCACATTTGCAGAATGTTTCCTTTTCAGTAATTGTACAAAGACTCCCTTGCCATTACAAAGCACTTTTCTTCTTGGCAGATTGAAGAATGCTTTACCAACTAAATGCATCCCAGTAACATTCAGAGCTTAGGTCCAACATAATCATAAGTTGCCTTGTTATTATGGAGGTAGAAGCCCCATTTAATAACATATTAAATGCATTATTCATTTATGTAACTCAGACCCAGGGACAGCTGCTGGGATGAAAATAGAACCATTCTGTAATGCAAAAAGCAGGTGTGTGCTTACTTGAGTAAATGAACTCTGTATTTCTGCACAATTTTCTTCTAAATTTCAGGGACAGGTCTGGTAGGGCTAATGTGATGCCATTTTCATCCAGGAAATAAAATGGTTTCAGAATGCTTTTTAATGAGCATTTAAAAAAAAATTACCAACAGTCTTCTCTGTGGCAGAAGGGGGAATGGATTCGTGCTTAGGATTTAAGCAGAACTGTTGCTGCAGGATGGGGGGGAGGGGTGGAAAGCCTGGGGCAATGATTGGTGGGAACAGCGCCAAACAAAAGGAATGTGCTCAGCTCATGATGCCAGTGGTGATGGCGAGCCCATGCCTCTAGAGCAGCGTCAAGACAGTCACAGGTGTGCTTGGATGCTAAGTGATTAAAAATCATAACCTGCCTTTGGTTTGCATGGTGCCTTGCCTCTGAAACACGCAGGGAGTTTCTGATGCACAGACTCCGTGGGAATCCATAATTGTTGTGTGACATTACTGGTCATTTTCTTGCTACCTACCATTGCTGGTGCCAGAATGTCAGCATTCTCTAGTGCGGGTATCCTTCTTCTTTTTTTTTTTTTTCTCTCCCACCTGTGATTATTTTCTCTTTTAATCGGCATGCACTCATAAGCACCTACAGTGGATTTTCTTAAATAGTAGAGTGATATTAAAAATGCTCAGACTTGATATTGACCAATTGAAATGGGTAGAGATCCTAGTGCAGGGGCAGAGTTCAAAGCTATCTGATGTGCTGGATGTTAACCCCTTAGTGTGAGGAGAAGCAGGGGCTCTGAAGATAAGGATTAGTTGCTGCTGGTTCTAGTGAGGCATTTGAAGGGTTTGAGGGCAGTGGTAATAACCACCTGCCGTGCAGATATTTCAGCATTTCTATGTGGCACAGTGATCCCAGTATGGACCTCCTGATTATCAGCTTTGCATATCCCTAGGGGCAAGGGTACCCTCAAGGAACTTAAAGTTCATAGTCACACACAGGGAGACAATCCTACAAGACATAAGGGGGTTCCTATCAATAAATCTAAAGGATCCTTTACGAGTTTAAGAGAGGGGCAATCTCCTTCCATTTAAAGAGATGGTACAGTAGTGCCTAGAGACAAGGATATGCTTGAGGCAAATTGTCTGGGGTCCTGACTGGGTGATCTTGAGAAAACTGGTTAACTTCTACGAATCTTAATATCTTCATCTGTAAATTGAAAATCATAATACCTTCCTTAAGCAGAACCCTTTGGGATATTTTGAAGACAATTGACAAAAGTCATGCTAAGAACTTAACACAGTGCAAATATAGTAAGTACTCTCTAAATGTGAACTTCTTTTTATTTCACTATTATTTTACTATCACAATCAGGAAAAGACAGAGGAGAGAAGCTGTAACTTAGAGTGGAAATTTTAGGCAGCTGATAGAGCATGAGAGAAGATACAGAAGCAGAAAGAGCAAAAGAAAATAAGCACTTTCAAGAGGTTTGAAAGAGAGGTTTGAAGGGAAGATGAGCTTTTTGGTAAGGATTCAGAGATAAAGTACAGTTAGCCTGTGGAGGGTTTCATGGACAAGATTATGAGATTTATGACCTATCCTAAGGACATTTGGAAACCATGAAGGTTATGAACAGGTAGGAGAAATAATATTAAATAAAAATAACTGGCAACATTTCATAGGCACTTGCTAATCGTCAGGGCGGTTTTAAATACTCTGTGTACATTAATCCATTTAATTTATACAACTACCCTATGAGGTGAATTAAATATTAATAATTGACCTTGTAGTGATCCATAGCATCCAAAGTACTTTCCCAGACAATATTTAATTTGACTTTCTCAACCATGCTCTTAGGTAGCCAATGTTAAGACTCAGAAACAAAGGAAAAGGCATTGGCCAGATTTGAAGGTGTTAGAAGACTATATAGCCTGCAGGCCAAATATGGCACACTGCCAATATCTATAAATAAAGCTATACCGAAACCCAGCTGTCTCCATTCTTTTGTGCATTATCTGTCCACTTTCATGCTACAATCAGAGTTGAGTACTTGTGACAAAGGCCATATAGCTGGCAAAGCTAGAACATTTCCTACCTAGCCCTTGATATTAAAAGTTTCAACTTCGGGTCTAGAAGAGTGGAAAGACCTGAGATTTTACTTCCACTTTGAGCTTAAACACTCACTCTAGTAAGTAGGTTTGGGAAGTCTGATATATGAGTACACAGAGTGGTTACTGTGGACCCCACACAAAAAGATGATGAACGACAACACTGAAGCTCAAAGTCTTAAAGATTAATTGTCCTAAAACCACAATTCCAATTTTTTTTATGAATCTGATAAATTACATAGGACAAATTTGTAGAATAATCCTTGTTTTTTTTTTTTTTTCCCTAGTAAAGCTAAAATAAGAAATAAAAGTAGGAGGCAAGATTTACTCAATCTGCAGACTGGTCTCCTTAATAGGAGTTTTCAGTACTTAGCCATTACAGTCCCTCATAATATATTGAGGAGAAACTATCAAATTTAGCCAACTTTCTGTGCTACACCATGACCATGGCACCCTCTATGGAATCTAATGTTAAATCACATAATCCATAGCAATCTATTCTTTGTCTGAATTTCAAATTCCCTTGCAATATATGTTACTCATTCTAACTCTCAGTTATATAACCTTTAAAATAACTCCTGGATTATCCATGTATATCACTTCAAGATTATAAACATAGTAAGGGCAAGGACCATGTCTTCTACTGCTGCGCATTTCCCATGGCTCTGAAGTGAAATGATTCATTGATGGACTAAATAAAAGAGTTATATTAAAATGCTAACAATAGGTCTAATATGTTACTTTGATGATTTGTCTTTCTGTTGGGTACTTTATAGGAATTAGCTCTAATCCTCAGAGCACCATGAAGTGTAGTTACCAATAGCCCTCCGGGCTACACAGTAGTAGGTCTAGCCTTAAAAAAAGTGGGAGTGGTCCAAATGGTAATGAGCTGGATTACAACTTGAGCTTTTCTCCATTTAGGTACAGGAAAGTGGTTTCCAATAACTGCACGGATGGAGTAAGAGAACAGTACACTGCCAAACCGCAGAAGTGTCCTGGGAAGGCCCCACGGGGGCTGAGGATTGTCACCGCTGATGGAAAGTTGACAGCAGAGCAAGGGCACAATGTTACCCTCATGGTGCAGTTGGAAGAGGTAGGACCAGATCCCAAACCATTTTTATCTTCTAGGGCAGAAAATCAGATTTGGTCTATGTATGTCTTTGTTTTAATTTTTTTTTCATTTTAAATATTGTTGACTTTTTTTTTTCTTTCTGCTTTTGGTTCCTTGGTTTGTTGTTGTTGCTCTTGTTTCTCCTTCCCTGCCACATTTCCTCAATTATTCTCAGTTCACTGCAACTCCTTCTTCACTCTCAATATATCACTTCTTATCTTGGAAGTTTTTTTGGATTTAATTGTGCCTTATTGGCACTTCCAGCCAAAAGTTTTCTCAGAATACATCAATAGTATTCCAAAAAGAGTTGAACATACATGTTCAACCTAACAGCTACTAATGCTGTCTTTCTCTGTCACCCTGATGTCTTAGCTTTTCTTTTCCAAAGGCAGCATGCTGGTCATACATATAACACCAAAGCTAATATAAATGTAATTGAGTATGCTTTCTTTGAGAATTGAGAGTTTGTAATTCTGTAACACCTCAGCAATATCATTATGAGCATCAATGACTGACAAATTGTGATTTTCTGAGATTTCTGAATATTCAGATAGTGTATAGGATAAAATTTATACCATATGTTTTAAAATATGCATAGGCATCTTTATCATCTTAGAAAGGAAGATGATGTTCTCTAAAGGATCAACAATTTCATTAAATGATCTCAGTTATCAAGCCAGACAGTCTTGCTTTCAGCCATGTTTTCTGAGTACTTAAATATGGGCAGCACTGTGCTAGGCCTTATGAACAGAAAGGGATTTAAAAAGTTAATACTGATACCAGGATTAAGATCTACATCATTGACTTCCAGCTTCCCCTGATAGCTCAGTGGTTTTCAATCTTTAGCATGAATAAAAGTTACCTGGTGAATATGTTAAAACAGTTTTCTGGGACCCATCACCAAAGATTCTGATTCAGTAGGTTGGGTGGGGCCCAAGAATATGCATTTATAACAAGATTATAGGTCATGCTTGTGCTTCAAGAATAAACAGAACAAAACAAGGGCAAAGCCAAGGGGGAGAGAGTAGTCTTCAGAGGCTCTGGAGTTTGACTTGAAAGGGAGAAGATGAAGCATTTAGGATTACTTTGTCAGGATTGATCAACATTATGGGTATTTTAATTCCTGTAGCAGAAACAACTGTGAAATAATGAGTTTGAAATTACAGCTCAGATGATGCTGATACTTCTGGACCAACGACCACTTTGAGAACCATCCCTCTAACCTAGTACCCCTTTCTGTTATCTCCTTGATAAGTGCCTTTCTACCACACACATTCTTCTAAATACAAGGTTCCCAAAATTTTACAGTTGGAACTAGAAAGATAGAGACCAATTTAAGCAAATTGGAGTTGCTCAAATTTTACAGAAATAAAATCTTTAGACTTCTGCCTGAGGCTATGACATATTAGCTTGCAGCAAATCAAATATATATGTATATATTTAGAGCAGGAGTGAGGTTCTGAGACAGAAAGAGAGAGGGGGGGAAGGAGAGAGAGAGGAAGAAGAGCATGAGAGAAGTATCAAAAAGATTCGGGCAAAATTCTTTTCTTCAGAGATTGGAAATTCATTATAGCAAGTCCAGCAATTCATGCTGTATTTCCCCTCAAGTACTTTGCCAATTGATACATCATACTGTGGAAGAGGTCAGATTTCAGATTCCTAGTTAGAAGGCCGTATACAAAGTCTTGGCTAAACAACTAGCAGAAGGCTCTCAAGGCTGGGAAGATAAAAATGGACGTCAGATAAAATCCCAGAGAGAAGAGAAGCATAAAGAAGTAGCACAATATTCTGTGCATTTGTTTTCTCTCTGAGTTGTTTGACAATATCCAAGTGATATAAGCAGAATGGAAAGTAGTTACTATAAGGATGAAAAGTCATGCAGTTTTTAGAAGTACTACATTTTGAGGGAAAAAAAATTAGAGCTCAGAGACTATCAAGAAGGAAATCCCTGATAAATAATACAACACGAGATTCTTGAAACTCCTGGAAGGCTCCATCCTAGGAGTAAGGACACATGACAACCAGATCATGTTCTCTAAATGCTGAAACCCAATCTGGAATTATATTTCAGTATCTGAAAGCATTAGTGATTCCCCCCCCCCCACTCTAAATATCTTCCAGAAGCTAAAATGAATCCTCTTTAGAGGAAAATAACATAAATCAGAAGTCTTACCTATATTTTTCACATCAAATATTGGGCATTTAATTTAAAATACTACATATATATCAAGAAACAGGACCCAAGAAGAGGTTGAAAAAAAAAACATCAAAAAAGAGAACAGTTGTCTGAGATATGATTAGTATGTTCATAAATATAGGTCAAGACAGAAAACACAATCCCCAGCAGTCATCAGTAAGAGGCAGTAACAAATGGATGTTGTAGAAATAAAGATATAATAACCAATATTAAGTGACACCTGAGTGGCTCAGTCAGTTGAGCATTGGAGTCTTGGTTTTGGCTCAGGTCATGATCTCCTGGGTCATGGGATGGAGACCCAAATCAGCTCCACATTCAGCAGGGAGTCTGCTTGAGGATTCTCTCTCTCCCTCAGCCCCTACCTCCACTCACATGTGCACAAACACTCTCTCTCTAAAATAAATAAATAAATATTTTTTTAAAAAATAACTGATACTAAGAAGTTAGATAGATTGACAGTCAACCAAACCCAGACAGATAGAAGATAAGTTAAATGGAAGAAAGGACAGTCGGAAGTATAACATTTGGAGCATAAGAGAGGAAGCATATAAAATAGAGAAAAGAGTAATAAGAGACACATGGGAAACAGGGAAATGGCTAACATAGATATAATTAGAGTCCTAGAGTGGAGAAGGATGATAAGAAGTCAGAATCCATTTTTAGGGGATAATATCTAAGAATTTTCCTAAACTGACAGGAGGTATCAGAGTATCAATCTAGTCTGGAGAGAATACACAACCCCTAGCAGGATACATACAAGGGGGAAAAGGCAGTTAGGTATCATATTCAAATTACCAAAATCAAAAAATAAAGAGAAAAATTTAAAAGCAGCACAGAAGAAACTGGAATGACATCTTTGAAGTGCTAGAGAAAAAAGACAAACATGAAGGTAAAATAGAGAAATTTCTCAAACAGAAACTGAGATGAGTCATATAAGATGATTTTTATAAAAAGAAACACTAAAGGTAACTCTTCAGGCATAAAGAAAAAGAAACCCAGACAAAAGCACAATAGTGGAAAGAATGAAGAGCAAGAAAGAGGGCATATATGTGGGTAAATTGAAATTAATAACTTTGTAGACCAATAATGATAATCCACTGTGGGTTTAAATATGTGTAGAATTAAAATACATGACAACTATAATTCAGTATGTATTAAACGGAGTCAAGGTGTTTTAAGTTCCATGAAATGTCTGTGAAGAAGTAGAAGTACTAATTTATATTAGATGCCAGCATGTCCAGAATATGTACTTTAATATCTAGAGAAACAGCTAAAAGAATAGTCAGAGAACATTTAACTATCAAACTATTGGCAGGAAACTGGAATAATATTAAATTTGCCTCATTAATCCAAGAAAAAACAGGAAAGAGGAAAAAGGAACATACTTATATTCAAGACTAATAGAATAAGTAGTGAAATGGTATATATGAATCCAAATATTATCATTAATTGCATAAAATAGTGATTTTTGTAGCTTGCTTAAGAAGGCTGTATCTAACCCAAGATTGTGAAGAAATAACACCACAAGTTTTTTTCTTTAAGTCTATTATAATCTGTTTTGAATAAATCCAAGGTTTTATATCTTTTTCTCTTTGCATATTCAATTGACCCAGCACCCTTGAAGGACAATTCTTTTCACCCTGAATTGCTCTGAATCTTTGTCCTAAATCAATTTAACATATCTGTGTGGATCTCTTTCCTGATATTTTATTTTGTCCTGTTGGTTTTGATTCTCAAACCTGTGTTAAGTGATAATTTAAAACACTTTTTAAAAAAATTTTGAGAGAGAGCATGGGAACAGGAGGAGGGGTGGGGGAGGGGACAGAGGGGCTGAGGGAGAGGGGAAGAAAATCTTAAGCAGGCTCCACTACCATCATGGAGCCCAACACAGGTCTCCATCTCATGACCTTGAGATCATGACCTGAACTGAAATCGAGAGTTGGACGTTTAACCAACTGAGCCACCCCAAGTGCCCCTAAAATACATTTTAATTACTCTAGATTTAGAGTAAGTCTATCTATCTGGATGTATAAATCCTCTGAACCAACCTATATAAATATTTATATATATATATGTATGTGTATATATATATATATATATATATATAACACACATAGATATATACACCATATATGTTGTATATTATATACAATTATATATAATATGCTTTATAATAGCATAAAAACAATGCTTACCTACAGACAAAACTACCAACTTATTTTCAATATCTCTACCCAGAAAACTCAACACTTTTGGAAAACATTTTGAAAAACATAAATATATGGAGAGATATATGATAATTGCAAATTGGAAGATGCAATATTATGAAAAGATGCCAGTTTTCCCCACATTGATCTTACATTCAAGGCAATTTCAGTAAAGTCTCTAGCATATATTTGTGGGTTAAAGTTGACATGTTCATAAGGCATATGAAAAAGCAAGGGTTCAAGAATAGCAAAGAAAATCTTAAAAATGACTCCCAACACCAAACCTAATGAATGGCTTACATTACAGATATCAAGATTTATTATAAAGCTATAGTAATAAAGAGGGTGTGGTGATATATATATCCAACATACTCAAGCTGATCAAGAAAGGGAATAGTGAGTCAAGAAAAACACACAGACATGCACACATATTCTTTATGACAAATGAGACACTTTACTTTAGTACAGTAGATCAATTATAATCTTTTCAATAGGTGTGTAATGACATCAAAATCCAAGTGGAAATATATGAATCTTGATCTCTCTTAACACAAGTAATTGTAACTGGTTTGTCAATC